TTTCATCCTTATATTTTTTTATCCACCGTACCAAACGGATCATAACTGATTTACTTAATATAGTGATTTTCCTGTACAATCGAAAAGCAAGTTCATAGTATCGTATTAAAAAATTATTTTTTCAACTACAGTTATTGTTTGAGTTATTTTTAATTATTGATTACAAAAATAACAAACTAAACAAGGTTTACATGTTATGTTTTTAATAAATAATGAAAAATTGTTTATATGGTAAGTAAAAATAGTTTATTATTATTATTATTATTAATGCTATCCCAATACAATGGATTCCAATAATAACGCAAAGGGACAGAAAGTTGTCTCCAAAAGTTGAATTTGACAACAATAAATATTTAAAGAATAAAGCAAAGCAAAGAAAAGAAAAGAAAAGGGCACTTTCCTGGAAAGCTCACCCCAGAAAAGGTAGGGCATTATTATCATCAACTCCCTTCATTTTCTGTAATTTTTAGGAGTCGTAATCAAAGGCATATGTGGACAGAATCCTATCAACTTCAAAGCCAAACACGACAAGTCTTCATCAAGAAAAGGTTAATTAATGGAGGAAAATAATAATAATAATAATAATAATAATAATAATAATAATAATGGAGAGTGGGTGGGTGGGTGGGTGTGGGAGAGACCTCTTGAAGTGGCTGCATGCCTTTGGTCAACAGTCCACCATCGAGTGTTTCGTGTGATTTTGGCCTCTGTCTCCTAGTTTTACCAGTCATTTATTTGCAGTGTCAATTGTGTCGTAACGTCTAATTTTTGGTATGTGTTATATTTGTATTAATAAAAAATTATTAATTTTTTAATATCTCATATGAATTATAAAATATATATTTTTTAACTTTTTAATTTGCACACACGTGCGTTACATGTGAACAATCTTAACTTATATTTACGCTGATAATATTAATTCAAAGATCAATATTACAACATAATAGCCTCAGAGACTATGTCCTTCACAAGTTTGAATTAATTAAGGAATGTTTCATTCAAATGAATACATCATAAATCAATGAAACAGAATATAAGTACATTGCTTATCTTAATGCATAAAATAAAATCAAAATAAAAGAGTTTTTTTTGGTCAAAATATAAAATAAATAAATTAGATAATAGTAGTATCACTCCATTGCTATGTTCAATTGCTTCTTTGTCTGTGACACTTAAACCATAAACCGAAATAAAAATAATAGGAATTTTTTCTATTTAAAAATTTATCTAGCATGCAGGCAAAGAGAATGTTAATTCTTAATTAGAGATTATAAACAGTCATGTTGCTCTAGTTATTAAACAATTGATAATATACTTGGGAGTGATTCACATAAAGGGGGAAAAAATATTAATCAATTCTTCATGATGTGTGTGGTATTGCCCCCATTCATTTAATGATACCATTTAAACACCAATAATAAAATACTCTGTTGTGGTCCAAAGTATATTCTTTGGTAGACCTTAACAATGTTTAGCAAAAATTTTGAACAAACATAAATGATGTATAATGTTACAAAACTACAAATAATTGCATAAATATTTGAAACCCAAACACATCACCTACTTTAATTCAAAAATCTAAAACATAAGACAAGCATGACAGAAGTACTGATACTCTTAATTAGTCCTAAACAACTCATTACTTTTGGCATTAGAAGACCTATTATAGTCGAAACAATTCGTACAAGTCTTTCATTGTTGATAAATTGGTAAATCATGCTTGGTTTAATTTTTTAAACAAAATGACATTCATCGAATAAAACTAAAAGCAGGTTTCTAATAGATTCTAAGTTGAAATGTTCTTTTGATTTCAATAAGAGGCATACAATCAACAAACAAAATTAATAGCTATCTACAACAATAAAAAAAAATAGCAACTTAACATCAATCTTCATTTCACTTGCCAAAACACTTATTTTAGGATTTTGCTTAATTTGAGGGTATGTTAGTCAACATACTTGATTCTATCCGCTACTATAATCCATCAATTATTTGGGCATATTATTCTCCATGCTACAAAATTTTCAATCACTTGCACTCTATTTAATGAGTAAAACCAAACCATAAGAATTCAAAAGAATGATTTGAGATAAACATGAGGAATGTGACCATAAGAACACAGCATATAACCGTCCTTTCAATTCTTGGACAACATGGAGCAAGCTTCACATTCTTCAAATTGTTGTCCAACAGTGTCAAATAAGTTGCATTTGCATTGGTCCTTGATGTAATTATATTTATCCCACCTATTTTTACAAGGTTTTCTATATGTTGTGCCTGTCATTAACCAAAACAAATCTACTTTCAATAAGATCCACAGAGATTAAATCCAAAAATCAAGAAAAGAGTAATTGAAGATCAAAAAAGTGTTCGGGAAGAGAAATACAATTTGAAGAATGTGATTTTTCATAAATTGATACTTTAATGGAGAAAGTAGAGCATGAGGAGTATGTCATAAATGATATTAATATAATAAATAAAAGGTGCAGTGTGTTATCTTTATAATATATTTATTCATGGTAATTTAGATAATTAAGAAATGTTAGAAAGTAAAAGAGGAAAATAAAAGTTTTTCAAAGATACATACAAGTAGTATAATTATAGATATCATCCATTAATTGTGCTATTCATAGATAACCTTATTTTGATCTATTTATTATTCGTGTTAATTGATCTATGTCATTTTGCGTTTTTTGTTAGATCGGATTTGTGTAGGGTTTGTGTCAATTTTTTATGCAACCCCTTTAAGAGGCAATCTTTTTTTTTTTTTTTTTTAAATTTCAAACATAGACTCCAATTGAAGAAATGGCTCGCTTGACTAAATAAATTAAGCTTGAATTAGAGTTCGAGCATAAAATCGTCGCTAAGATCAATTCGGCCCGTTTGTATCTGTTAATACTCGTTCAAACCTTTTAATTTTTAAATGACCCTAGTTCAAGCTCCATTTTAAACTTATTTAATAAACAAAATAAATCCAAATCATTAACTACCCTATCCATGTATGAAAAATAACTATTACTGGAGGTCCACCTTCTTTAATTGTAAGTTTATCATTAAATGGTGGTACCATATAGTAATGCTGATGTAGTATCACAGTTATATCTAATATTTACTTGGGATTTAGAAGGTGATTTTTATGAAAATAGTCTAATACATCTTTAAAACCCATGTTTAGTTCAAAATTTGAGACTCGAAATTTGAATCCGACCACTGACGATAGAGGATTAAAACCCAAAAATGAGGGTTTGATAAAACACAAGAGTGGAGTTTCAAAAGTGAGAGATTGGATTGTGGATAAAAAAATTATTTTTCCTAAAAGTTAATTCTCCTATTCACCTAATAATAGATATTTTAGTCAATTGAATAAAAAAAAATATTTCTAACAAAAAATATTATTTTTTGTATATGATTTGACATGAATCTATGGATCCCGCATCGATTCATTTCACTTATCAAATATGAGATTGAATAAGATAAATTGAAAAAAAGTATTGGTTGTAATAATAATTGAAATCAGAGATTCCCCTTTTCTTGAGCACAATTAGCAATAATTTCGTGTCTGAAGTTATTTTATAATACCAAAAATCAAGTATTAATCATGCAATATTTAAATTTTAAATACCAACTTTTTTTTTTGAATTGCACAATATAAAATTAAAATGAATAGAATGTGGATTAATAAAGTTGTTTGACATTGAAGAGTATATTAGTTGAGTAGATTTTTTGTGCAAACAAAAAAATTTAGAATAAATTTTTTATTATTGAATAAAAATAGATAAAAATTAAATTAATCTTGATCGTTATTGTACTTTTATAAATTAAAATTTTAATTTCCTAATTATAATATTATATAAAAATTTAATTTTTAATTATACAATTTAAAATTAAAATAAATAAAAATAATATAAGACAGAGACAAGAGAAAAAAAGAGATAGATATGTATGAATTAATGTGATTTTCTGACATGAAAGAGTGTACTAGTTGAGTCAATGTTTTTAAACTTAAATATTTTATTAAAAAACAATACTAAAAAGTTCAAATGAAACTCAAAACGTTGCAACTCAAATGCATATCATTTTTTGGATGAGTGTGTCCTATAAATTTTTTCAATAAGCTCATTCATCCATGAGATAATATGCATTCAAGTTTTAATTTTTGAATTTTATTTGAATATATGTAGCCTTTTTTTAAAAAAAAATACTTAATAAATATTTAATCTCTAACTTTATGTCGAGCAAAGCTTTTCCTGGTCAATCAATCCCAAAATAAACGTTTCAGTCTCGTCTGAAGAATGGGATTGGACGGCGGTGGTCCCCAGCCATGGTTTCTCAGTGTGTGTGTGTGTTTTTTTTAATTGTTTCCAAAAAAAACTAAAATGGGGTCGTCAGTCAATATATCGGGGATAAATTGACTCACAGACTTTTTAATCGATTCACTCATCTCGTGTTCGGACAATGGGGCCCGGTGGTAAGTTTCGTAATATGTAGCAAAACTGGACCCTAAATCTTTACGGGGCATGTCCGAGAAACCTTGTCGCTTTTAAAGTGGGGATCTGATGGCAGTGGGAAATCAAAATCGCCGTCTGAATTTCCAAACTGTTACTAAGACGTACGAATACACCAATTTATAGCCTTAGATTTTGCTACATGTCAAGTCTCTGTGTGGGCCCTCAGTGGATGGACAGTGGAGATGTTGTGCAAGGGTGACTTTGAAAGTAGACAATCTGTTTTCTCTCGGTCTGGCTCTGCATAAAGCTGAAGTACAGCTGTCAGCTGGAGATTCCGAGCCGATTAACTCGGACAAAATGTAGCCGGCTAAGTGGGGACCATGAAGACTGTGCTTATTTGGATGTCCGACGCCTTATCGATTTATCTTTCCTTATTAGATTTGATAAGAAGACTGGAGTATCAATAAGCACATCAACTTATCTTGGCTTCCTGTAACCTCTTCCTATAAAAATCGCCATTCCTGCAAGTAATGTCGTATTTTATTTTCCTCCCCACGATAGAGTAGAGAGAGACTCATTATATATATGTGGAGAGAGTGAGAAAGAGGGAGACTTGCATAGAATACAGATACAGAGAGAGAAAGTGAGGAGAGAGAGAGAGACCATTTCTTCCTCGAGCTTGTCGTTTGGCTCTTCCATCTTCTCTGTGCTGGGTCTCTCTTCAATCGATCTCTTGTTCGTTTTCAAGGTGAGCTCTCTGTTGTATGTCTGGGTTATTTTTTCTGGAATATTTACTTTCAACTATTTGCTTTTTCTTTCTCTCTCTACTTTATCTCTCTCTCTAGACATATCTCTTGACTTGCTTTTTGGTTTTCTTTTACCCCCCTTGCTTTTGCATCTTCGATTCCAAATGGGTTTAAAGCTGCTTTCATGTCTCTGATCTCCCTCTAAAGAACCCTAATTTTCTTTCCCACTTTTCCAACCATATATGTCGGTGGATGGTTTAACAGCATGATCATCTTTGCCAAATGGTTTCTATGTGTTAGATTGAATATCAGTTTCATGATCTAGCTCTGGTTAGAGTTTGACATTTTTCTGTATTTTATTTTGTTTTTGTGATATTTTTTATTTTATTTGAATCTTGGAGCTTGTGTCAAGCACTAATTAATGTTTTAATATTTTAATAATCTGATAAAGCTAGTGGTAGCTGTCCCATTTATTTCTTTTTCCTTTTTCCCTATTTTATTTTATTTTCTGCGTTTACAGATCTGCTTATATATCTGCTGTTTATAGGTGCTCTGGGTTTGAAGACGGCAAAGTTACAATGTCTTCTCTCAGTAGAGAGCTTGTGTTCTTGATCTTACAGTTTCTAGATGAGGAAAAGTTTAAAGAAACTGTTCACAAGTAGGTGGATTGTGTATTTCTGTTGTACAGTTCTGTGTGTCTCTGTCTTTTGTTGGATATAATTATTTACAAATCTTTCGTTCTTAAATGGGGTTTTTCTAATTATAGGCTTGAACAAGAATCTGGGTTTTTCTTTAACATGAAATACTTTGAGGATGAAGTGCATGGTGGGAATTGGGATGAGGTTGAAAGATACCTCTCTGGCTTCACAAAAGTGGACGACAATCGCTATTCAATGAAGATATTTTTTGAGATAAGGAAGCAGAAATATCTTGAGGCATTGGATAAGTATGATTGCTATTCTTAAGCTGTTTAATTTTTTCACCATAAAGGTATTATGTTGGCATTTGTCATTTTCATTGTAATGTGACATCTATAAATTTGAATATGAGCATATATAAATTTGTGTAGGCATGATCGCTCCAAGGCTGTAGATATTCTTGTAAAGGATCTAAAAGTGTTTGCATCATTTAACGAAGAGCTTTTTAAGGAGATAACTCAGCTATTGACATTGGAGAATTTCAGGTACCAAATACAAATTTCTGAAATTTCACTTTAACAGAGCTCCAGAATGTCTTTTCCGAAATGGGTTTATTGTGTTGCAGGGAGAATGAACAGCTGTCCAAATATGGAGATACTAAATCTGCTAGATCAATAATGTTGGTTGAGCTCAAGAAGCTTATTGAAGCAAACCCGTTGTTCCGTGACAAATTGCAGTTTCCTAACCTTAAAAATTCAAGGTTACGGACTCTCATTAACCAAAGGTACTAAGGAGAGATGCTTTTACATTCTCTATCAACGTCAGAGCTCTGCACGTTTTCTTATTGCAAGTGGAACTTTTTCTACAATTGTTAACAGCCCAGTGTGTGCTACACATCTTTTGAAATGAGTCTGTCCAGTGTTTTTTAAGGCGTAAAGTGAATCGAAGCAAACCGGCCTCTTGAGGGCCTACTAAGTGAGTGCTTCATTCAAGCAAAGCGAATAATATAAAAAAATAAACAAATATTTTAGTTTGATACTTTGATTACTCATAAATATTTAAGTTTTAACTTTACAAGTACAAAATATTTAAATGCAACCAAAATAATAAACATCAACAAATTTTAAATTGACAAGATATTAAATATTGAACATCATTGCATTCTAAAAATAATCAATTAACATAATCATGTCATCTAAATGTAAAGTTAGCAAATGTGAGTTCGACTTTCATCGTGATTGATTAATATTATCACTAAATAGAGCACTCACAAATTGATTAATCACATAGAATATATAGCAAATTGATTAATCAATTTAATTAACCAAGCAAATTGATGAACAAGAAAATTCACATCAAAATTGAGCATTCAACATCATCTAAATCATAAGAAGACATATTGTCATATAATACTGTTAGATGAATCAATCAATCAATTTATTTTATATATATACACATAATATTATCTCTGTTAGGGTTTGGTTAATGTCAAAGAAAAAGGAGGAGGGGGAGGGAGGTGGAGAAAATACAAAAATTACAGTTAGGCGTTCGCTTTCTCGCGTCTTTGCTTCGTCGCCTACACTCGATTTTTAGTCACTTTACTTAACCTCGCTTCGTCTGGAATGTTCAAGCCAACCAAGGCTCGCTTCGCTTCGCACCTAGGCTTGCTTTTCTCAACACTAAGTTTGTCTATATTTCTTTGCGTTTAAAATTAGTATTAATATGCACGTGCATGATGTTTTTCAGGACTTGATAAACTCATGCCTTAAAAGACTTCACTGAAAACCTTTTTTCTCTTGTCTAATCTCATCATAGAAACTGAACACCTTAAGCACTGCCCCGAATGTAGCCTCTGTTTAGGCCTTCAAATGGTATGCTGTACCAAATGGAATGTGCCTTCAAATGTCGTGGAAATCAAAATGCTGTGGAATGTCTGCTTCATGTTACAGTGGCAGTAGTAATCCGGAATGAAAATTAGACGGCTACTTGGCATTAGCTTTTATGGTCACAAGAATTATCTAAATGCGGCTCAGCAATATGTAGCGGCTATTGAGAGAGAACTAACAATTTATTTGTCTTGCAGCTTAAATTGGCAGCATCAACTTTGTAAAAACCCAAGGTCAAATCCAGATATCAAAACCCTTTTTGTGGATCATTCATGTGGACAACCAAATGGTGCACGTGCTCCATCACCTGCAAACAACCCTCTTCTTGGATCTTTACCCAAAGCTGGAGGTTTCCCTCCTCTTGGTGCACATGGGGTTGGTATTTGGCATAGGCGTTTGTCTTATTGACATTGTTTTCCTTGGTTGTTTGGTTCCCTTATTGTGACTTGGCTTTATGTGTTCAGCCCTTCCAACCTACACCAGCTCCAGTTCCAACTCCTCTCGCCGGTTGGATGTCTAATCCGCCTACAGGAACTCATCCGGCTGTTTCTGGTGGTCCTATTGGTCTTGGTGCTCCATCCATTCCAAGTGGGTATTTTTGCTAATTTGCTATGCTACTGCAGTTCAATTTGAGTGTTCATATGAGTCACTAGTTGATTTCTTTGACTATTGACTATTTCATTGCCTCTCTAGCTGCTTTGAAGCATTCAAGGACTCCACCAACAAACCCTTCTGTTGATTATCCATCTGCAGAATCTGATCATGTGACCAAAAGGACAAGGACCTTGGGAATATCTGATGAGGTGGTTTTATAAGGCTCTTGGCTACATTTATAAAATTTGTCCTTCAGAGGCTTCATGCTATTGTAACTATATCAATATTTGCATATTTTATCATTTTCTTTATTGTTATTCATTACATACAGGTAAGTCTGCCTATTAATGTGTTGCCTGTATCATTCCCGGTGCATGGTCATAGTCAAGCTTTCAGTGCACCTGACGACTTGCCCAAGTTTGTTGCACGAACGTTGAATCAGGGATCATCTCCTATGAGCATGGATTTTCATCCTGTTCAACAAACACTACTTCTAGGTCTGTTTTCTGGAGCTTCATGTTCTTTGACCAAACTTCTATAAGGTGTCTTTGTGTGGTGATTTATATCTCGTGCTTTGCCTGTTTAATGTGGCCATTGACTTCATGATTGTCATGCATCAGTTGGTACCAATGTGGGTGACATTGGATTGTGGGAAGTTGGATCCAGGGAGAGATTGGTTCTTAAAAACTTCAAAGTTTGGGAGCTTGGTGCTTGTTCAATGTCTCTGCAGGTCTTTTTTTGTTTACTATTTTAGTTGGAGTCACCAATCATTTGTATGCAATTCTCTTTAATGTCTTTCAAATTGAAATATCAAAACCTTACCCTTTTCCTACTAAATTCAGGCTTCTCTAGTTAAAGATCCCGGTGTCTCAGTTAACCGTGTAATTTGGAGCCCTGATGGCAATTTATTTGGTAAGCTTAATCACAGAAGTCATATAACCACTCAACGATTAAGTCAACTGGTATATGATGTTTTTCCATTTTCCACAGGAGTTGCATATTCAAGGCACATTGTACAAATATATTCTTACCCTGGGGGTGATGAAGTACGGCAGCATTTAGAGGTATATTCTGCTGACAGTTCAGTTTCTTCCTTTTGCCTTACAATCTGAACCCCCTTTTTTATCTTGCATTTGTGACTGATATTCACTTATCTTATTCTAGATTGATGCTCATGTTGGTGGAGTAAATGATCTTGCATTCTCTCACCCAAATAAGCAGCTTTGTGTAATAACCTGTGGGGATGACAAGACCATCAAGGTTGGTTTATCATAAACTAGTTGATGGGGATCGTGTAGGTATTGGATAGATATTATAGATTAATTATGATAGTTATTTAGATACTTTTAATATTTAGCTTTTAAGTAATTTTTTTTAACTTTTAAGGGTTTAGTTGTCATTTTGATTATTTATTTATTTTAGGGTTTGTGATCTCCTTATATATATAGGATTTGTGAATTCCTTATATATATAGGGGATACATATTTGTTGAGAGACTAGACTTTGATTATTGATATTGAATCTTCTTTCTAAAATTTTCTCTTTATTCTCATTCCCTTCTTCTTCTTTTGTCATCCCTTTCTTTTTCCCTAATACGATCTACATCAATTTGGTATCAGAGGCCAACTTTGATTCGTATCCAAAAAAAAAAGAAAATACTGTTCACTGTTCACCCGTGCACTGTTCATCCCGAAAAATACTGTTCACACGTACACTGTTCATTCGAAATTACTGTTCACGTGTGGCACTGTTCACCACCATAAGAAAAAAAGATTCCAGAACCAGCCAAAAAAAAAAAAGAACTGTCCAGCAGATTCAGAAAATTACAGTAACAACCCAGTTGTTCTAGAAATTACAGAAACACCCCAGAAAATTTTAGAATTATAGAAACATCAATCCATAAGTTATAGAAATTGCATAATCTTTCCCCTAGAAGTTTCGAAAATTACAAAATCATCTCCAAAAGTTTTAGAATTTCTTCTTGATTATGTTATGCATACTCCCATGAAATTTGAGACTAATATTTTTATTCATTGAAAAATTAGAGAATTTGCAAAAGATTCAAAAAATATTTTCTTCTATTTAAGTTTTCTCACTTCTTGTAATTATTAATTGCATCCTTGAACTCATTCTTATATTATTCTCATCTTTCGAAGTCAATCATGAGTTCATATGATAATTATGATGCCTATTCATATACTTATCCAACATCAAGAGTGTCTCAAGTTCATAGTTCTCCACAACGTCATCACTATACCTATTCCACTCCTAGAGCTTCTCGGAGTCATCATAAAGTCCATAATAAGTTTGAGTTTTATTATGAAGATTATCTAGAATACTACTCTGGGACACTTAGATCACATAACAGGTACCAACGTCATGCTTCCCAGAGTCGTCATCAAGGTCAATTTGGATCAATCTTCAATGTTATTAATGACCATTTAAAAGCCCAAACTGCCCTAGGAAAAAAGGTTGAGATCTTTGAAATTGAAGTTGCCAATACTAAACATTCACTCAATCAATTACGTGAAGAATGTAGAGGGGTGAAAAATCAATTATCTGAATTAACAAGTCAACTTTCTCACTTGAATAAAATTCTTGCAAGTTAGCAAATGGAAGAAAATAAGGACAAGTCTCTAGTTTCACCTAATGTCGGACACCCGCATAGTGATAGCATATTTTTGTTCCATTGAACCCTCATGCTTTACATCCTTCAAAACGTACTTTCAATCATTTGAGCATTGATACTAGTGATGAGATTATTTTTGATCCTATCATGTTTCCTACCTCATCGGTGCCACAAGTTGAATCATCACTAAGTATTGAACTTGAGAAAAAATTCATTCAGTTAGTTCCTATGCAAGATGTTGAGCATATTGAGCTATTTATTTTATAATCTGTTGGCAATTATTCTATGTCTACTATTCTGAATTATGATGGCATTGTTGTGGATTCTTCTTCATTTGAGATTGTTGATTTTGTTTCGGATTCTTTTCCACCAGAGATTGTTGACATTGTTCTAGATTCTGCCCCACTTGAGATTGTTAACTTTGATTCTTTGCCTACTGTCAAGTGTTCAATTCAATATGTACTTTCTTATTTTCAGCATCAGGGTGTTATAATTACTCCTTTGTCATTGATGTCTTGTCCCGCTGAATGCCAGTTGTTCAAATCTAATGGAAATTTTTTTGTTATTCTTGAGTTTGAATCTAATGTTTATTTGCTTAATTTTTCATTGAATGTTAGTTTTAGTCCAGATTTTTATTATGAGGACATGCTGTTTAATCGAGGTACTTCAGAGCCTCCTAGTTTATTCACAGGTGTTCATACAGATGGAGATTCTTGCATTTATCTTGGTCGATGGAAAGAAGTCGAAGGTTCTTTCATTCTAGATGAGACATTATGTCATCTTCATCCTGCTCTCTTGGAGTATTTCTACTTTGAAGACTCTCCGGAGGAGAGTTTTTTTCAACCGGAGGAGAATGATGGGGATCGTGTAGGAATTGGATAGATATTATAGATTAATTATGATAGTTATTTAGATACTTTTAATATTTAGCTTTTAAATAATTTTTTTTAATTTTTAAGGGTTTAGTTGTCATTTTGATTATTTATTTATTTTAGGGTTTGTGATCTCCTTATATATATAGGATTTGTGAATTCCTTATATATATAGGGGATACATATTTGTTGAGGGACTAGACTTTGATTATAGATTATTGATTATTGATATTGAATATTCTTTCTAAAATTCTCTCTCTATTTTCATCCCCTTCTTCTTCTTTTCTCATCCCTTTCTTCTTCCCTTCTCATCCTTAATTCTTTCCTAATATGATCTACGTCATTGTCTTGTTACCAACCGAATGGTAATGTTTTGCACTGGACAAGTTGCAAGACTTTTCTGATACTTCATTATTTGTAGGTTTGGGATGCAACAAATGGTGCAAAACAATACACTTTTGACGGTCATGAGGCTCCAGTCTATTCTGTCTGCCCTCACTTCAAGGAAAACATTCAGGCAAGAATCCATTAGTTCAACTTCTTCGGGGTTAAGGCATTTTAAGCTTTTTATGTTTTCTACAAAGAATGTTTTATCCCGGACTATGCTTGATCCTGATGTCCTATTCATCTATGTATGTTTCAGTTCATATTTTCAACAGCTCTAGATGGAAAGATAAAGGCATGGTTATATGACAATTTGGGATCTCGAGTTGATTATGATGCTCCAGGTCGGTATTGCACAACAATGGCTTACAGTGCTGATGGAACAAGGTTAATCCACACGACCACAACCATTGCATAATGCTACTTTGTTCCTTGATTATGTCATGATCATACCTTAATCTCTTCTTCCTTTCTTTTTGTTTTGGTTTGGGATTGGGGGGAATTTGCAGGCTTTTCTCATGTGGGACCAGCAAAGATGGGGAGTCGCACATTGTTGAATGGAATGAAAGTGAAGGGGCTGTGAAAAGGACCTATCAGGGGTTCCGAAAGCGATCATCGGGTGTGGTGCAATTTGATACAACCAAAAACCGATTTTTAGCTGCTGGTGATGATTTCTCCATTAAATTTTGGGATATGGACAATGTCCAACTTTTGACAAGTATCGATGCCGATGGTGGTCTTCCAGTAAGTTCATTTGTTCAAGGTCAATTTGAAGAGATTGTTGTTAAAATTTACTTTGCAAGATTTATCACGTTTTTCTTTTCCAAATTAAGGCAAGTCCGCGTATCCGCTTCAACAAGAATGGCACTATGTTGGCTGTTTCTGCTAATGAAAATGGGATCAAAATTCTTGCAAATTCTGATGGTCTTCGTTTGCTACGCCCATATGAAAATCTTTCTTATGATGCTTCCAGAGCATCTGAAGCTGCGACTAAGGTAGCTATTTTTCCATGTTCCATTATTATTGTTAGAATTCTCTTTGCTCGACATAAATATGCCTAAAGTATTTTATACTTCATCCTGCAGCCTACAATAAATCCACTATCTGCAGCAGCAGCTGCTGCTGCTGCTAGTAGTGCTGGACTTGCGGACAGGGCTGCCACTGTTGTAGCTATCCCTGGAATGGTTCGTGTGATATGCTTACTTCTATATTGCAGTAGTACTTTCACAATTTCAGATCCTGCATTAGAGTAGCAATTTTCGCCAATACAAAAATTTAATATGTGCCGATACTTCTCTCATACTTGCTTGTTTGTAACATAAATCATATTGTATTTGCATAGTTATATATGCTGATGAAATACATATTGAGTAACATGCATTTGATTTTTCTAGAATGGGGATGCTAGAAATCTGGTTGATGTGAAACCTCGAATAACTGAAGAAAGCAATGACAAATCGAAGATCTGGAAGCTTACTGAAATCAGCGAATCTTCTCAGTGCCGATCATTGAAGCTCCCTGAAAACTTAAGGGTAACCAAGGTACACATTTCAGTAACTGGATTTTGTCTTGGTAGATACTTGAGCATATTGCTAGGTTGATTAAGTTTTCATCCATGCCTGGGAATTACCATGGAGGTTTTGAGAACTCTGATATGAGATGACATAAACATGTTCTACTTACCTTTACCTTTTGCTTCTTCATGAGATACACGTGATTATAGTTTTTTATCTTTTTTGTTTTCTTGTTTGGATTGTATTTCTGGTACCCTTTTGGTGGTATGTTAGACAAAACAAAGCATACAAAAGAACAAGTTTCTTTCTCCGAGTTATGTATGTGATATTCATGTGACTCATTTACGGACTTAGCTGGTCTATTGTAGTACAATAGGAGTTTGACATTATATTTGGAGAAAATTTCAGAAAATAGTTAGAATTTCTTTTATTTAAAAGGTTTTTGGCTTCATCTTTAGACTTTAGTACTGCAACTTTAAGAATGCAAACCCAAACGTAGGTTGTCGCGAAGTAATATATAACTCGGAAGTTCAAGGTCGTGCCACATGGATTTGAAAAAGACAAAGAACACAAAAGAAAAAAAAAATAAAAATATTTTGAAGTTGTTTGAAATTGGTTTTGTTCAAAAGAATAGAGATTGATTGAGTAAAAAACATTAATTTGAAATACTAAAGTATTGGAAAAACTATTTCAATTCCACACGGCAATTATTAATATTCTAGTTTTTGAACTTAATTGGGAATCAATTGAGGAGTGATTTCAATCGGAAAATTTAGCGGTGATAATATGAAAAAATCAAAAGTATAATTAATATATTAATTGAATAAATTTAGGAATGTACTTGTAGATCACAATCATTTACCGTGCTTGGAGTCTATGATAAATCAAGTTTTCCAACTGGTAAACCCTAATTTTATAACAAATAATAAATTTTGACCCAAAAAAAAAAAACGAATAATAAATCAACTATTTATGAAAAATTATATTAATTAAATAATCTGTTATTTGACTTGCATGGAATCTCAAACATTCAATGTACGTGGCATAATGAATTAAGAAATTATACAGACTAAAAACTTTACTAAAAGACAAAAATTAAATCAAAAGAATAAATCATGCATTCAAAATATTGGATCAAGAATAAATACCGTGCTTCGTTGAAAGTATTTTTCCTAACTTTAGTTGAGTTTTTAGCAAGCCATAAGAAAAATACACCAAAAACTAAAAAAGAAAAGACTGGGCAAAGAATGTTTTCTCAACAGGTGAGAGTGTTTATTTATACTAAAGTCTAGGTATAGGTAGGAGGTCTAGGGTTGGCTTGCAAGAAATCTCGTGCATCAAATATTAGGGGCGCAGGTACCATAGATGCCCAGACCTTGAGCTCAATTTTCTCATACTTAGAGGTTGATTCATGAAATTTTTTTAAAATAAACTTTTGTAGCTCTTGAAGTTCTTTTTCCAACGCAAATAAAGTCAATCGGATATCAAAGTAAAACGTTATAATTAAAATGCTGAAGATGTGTCAAAACTTTATCTTCTATAATGCTTTCCTAACCCAACTCTAAATGAATTTTCTACTAAATTGGAATTTCATAAATTGTTGCATTATCTTTAAATCTTCATCTCTTAATCTTAGCCACTCAATCCTTATCATTTGTGATTCTTCTTTTAGTGTTTGCTTTAATTGCCTTATCCATTATTATTTTAAATCAATCAAATTACCCATCAAACAACTAGAAAAAATATCAAATTAGAAAATCAATGAATATAACACATTTAATCACAAATAATATGCAATTAATCAATCATTAAATATAATAAAATAAAAATTTTGATGGTTAATCAAGTTTCTTTCTCCGAGTTTTGTATTTGATATTCGTGTTACTCATTTACGGACTAGCTGGTCTATGGTAGTACAATAGGAGTTTGACGTTATATTTGGAGAAAATATCAGAAAATGGTTAGAATTTCTTTTATTTAAAAGGTTTTTGGCTCCATCTTTAGACTTTAGTATGACAACATGTTGTTGATGACTACAGATATCACGGTTGATATATACAAATTCAGGTAATGCTATTTTGGCATTAGCGTCAAATGCCATTCATCTTCTTTGGAAATGGCAGCGAAGTGAACGTAATTCAAGTGGCAAGGTATGTGTATGAAGTTGTTTCCCATCTATTTGTTCTTGTTTCGTCTTCATTTTAAAAAAGCAAGCTTACTATCAAAATGAATGGTTTTTTTTTTTTTGGTAGGCTACAGCCAGTGTTTCACCTCAATTATGGCAACCCTCGAGTGGTATTTTAATGACCAATGATGTGTCTGACACCAATCCTGAGGAGGCTGTTCCCTGCTTTGCTTTGTCAAAAAATGATTCATATGTAATGTCAGCATCAGGAGGAAAGATCTCCCTGTTCAATATGATGACGTTTAAGGTAATAGATGATCAGGGTTATGTCTTCTTGGGTGTGATTTTATGATCATGCTCAGTATTCATTTGACCAATCTGAATTTCTTCTGGGCAAGCGCAGACAATGACCACCTTCATGCCTCCGCCACCTGCTGCAACCTTTCTTGCATTCCACCCTCAAGATAACAACATCATTGCCATTGGCATGGATGATTCCACAATTCAAATCTATAATGTCCGTGTGGATGAGGTATGGACTTTTTTTTCAGGAGATAATAATATAGTTCGTTTCCATAAGCAGCATTAACATCAACTTACTAGTTACCATGTTCGTGCAGGTGAAAAGCAAGCTCAAAGGGCATTCCAAAAGAATTACTGGCCTTGCCTTTTCTCATGCACTGAATGTGCTAGTTTCATCTGGTGCAGATGCTCAGGTAACTAGTTCTGTACTCTTTGGTTTGTACTGAAGTTCTTTTGGCCTTGTTGTATGTCTTTTAGATTTTGCAAATCTCATTCAAAAATTTGATTGTTTGCATTATACAAGTGATACTTGCTTTAAACAGTTCCTGCTTCAACAAAGCTGCATTTGGCTTGCAAATATCTTCATGGTAATACCCATATGATTAACAAATAGGCCTTGATGGCTCTGTGTTTATATTTTTCCCTCAACATAGCGGATGCTTCAACTCTTCTGTGGAAATCTCACATTAGAACACAAACTATGAGATCTTAACGTCACTGTGATATGGATTTAAAGAAGGATACCTCTTTCAGGCACCATGATATGATGCCCAATGAGGATTTCAATATTGGTTCTCTCCTCGCTTTTAATTTTCCTTTCCCCCTTTTCCATGTTTTCTCTCTCCAGCTTTGTGTGTGGAACTCTGATGGATGGGAAAAGCAAAAGGCCAGATTCTTGCAGCTTCCAGTTGGGAGAACACCAACTGCACAGTCGGACACCCGAGTTCAGTTTCATCAGGACCAGATTCATTTCCTGGTTGTACATGAGACACAGCTAGCCATATATGAAGCGACAAAATTAGAATGTGTAAAGCAGGTAACTTCTTTCTCGAAGTGTTTTTTTTACGGGGGTGCCAGTTGCTTTCAGCCTTTAACATGTAATATTTTCTTTTTAGTGGGTTCCACGTGATAATGCTGCCCCAATTTCTCATGCAACATTTTCATGCGATAGCCAGCTGGTATATGCTTGCTTCTTGGATTCAACTGTTTGTGTATATACAGCTGCTTATCTCCGTCTCCGATGTCGCATCAGTCCTGCTGCTTATCTATCACCTAGTGTCAGGTATTTTGTTTTATTCACTTCTAATTTCTGCTTCATTTATAGAAATATCCAGCCTATTATGGGACCTTCCGTTACTGAAGTTTCCATAGACTGGTATATGTTTCAAAATCAATTATGTTTGGCTTTGTCCATTGTCTTTGATTGTCATCTCTAGTGAATCCCCATCATGAATGAAGCTTTGAACTCTGGGAAATTCTGTGATATGTTTAGACTGAAATGATGAACAATCTCATAATTAAGTTCATTTGTCTACATACAAATACTGTGTGTTATGTGACTATGGAAACTTGTTTGTTGGATAGCAAACAATATGTAATAATTTGGGTGGTCCTCTTCATGCAATGACTGATTATGATCTAAGAAATTCAAGTTGCATCTAGAGAGAGTATTATGCTCTGCCTCTTAAGAGATTACAGACATTAGTTATTACAAAAATTTCATATTCTCTATGCAGCAATTCAAATGTTCAACCCCTTGTGATCACCGCCCATCCGCAAGAACCCAATCAGTTTGCATTAGGATTGTCAGATGGTGGAGTTCATGTCTTTGAGCCCCTAGAATCCGAAGGCAAATGGGGGGTACCACCGCCAGTTGAAAATGGGTCAGCAAGCACTGTTGCAGCCGCACCTTCAGTTGGAGCTTCAGGCTCAGATCAAGCCCAGAGATGATAAACTGCCAGAGCACGAGTTCTTTTACATGCTTTGCTTGCTGGCTCATTCCTAATTCTGGTATGCTTCTTTTTTGACCACTCCAGTCACAATGCTTGTCTGTCAACTATGTTATTTTGGAAACCAGATGGACCAATATTGACCAATTGAACTATCAACTGACCCCTACCTCTTCAATTTAGCACCAAGGTTATGTCGTTGAGAATCATCCTGGTGCAACCAATTCTTCTTTTAGTGGGGTTAGTGACTGCTCAGTTTTGAAAATATTGGTATGGAATTTCTGGGCTCCTCATGTTTATTTGGCACTTTCTCAGGCATATTCTTGCTACATCTTTTCTTTGTGCAGTTGGAGTTCAAAACATGTAATTTGATCGACGAATGACTTGCAGATATGTAGTCTAACTTCTTGGTAGGATATCATTATGTAAGGGAATTGCTTTAGGAGTGTTAACAGTCAAATGGTTTTGCTTTCTTTTACCCGTCCGAAAAAGTAGAATTTGTTTAAGGAAATTGTCTCTTTTTATCTCTGTTAATGTTCCTTTCTATATTGTTACTTCCAGTTTTCCCCTTTCTTTTCTGTGATTTTTGGATGCAAACTTGGAAAGAAACATTAGTAGTATTGGTTTTTTGCCTACGTTTTGGAGGGACAGTCCGAAGCATAGTGCTGGTCCTTTATCTTTGTAACCACATTTGGACTTCCCATTGGATACTTCCATCTTTGAAGTTTTTTTTTTTTTTTTTTCGCAACATGCACGTTGAATTTTTCAACATGATTTTGAAAAATTTGTAGTTGAATGCAGAGACTTGAACCAATGTCAGACCTAGAGCACCCAATAAGCAAAGCCAGGCATTTGCATAATGCTGATTTAGAAGAATCTCAGTACAGAGATCCTATATTTGTGGCATGATCAAATTGGTTCCATCAACATTTCATGACAATCCCATCCGCTTATACACAATTTGATATAGTTGGAGAATTCAAATGGGTACGAGACTGAACCAGGTTAAGATATGACTAATATTTGTTTTGGCTGTGTCATGCACCTTGTTTTTCATATACTTAGATGGTGCGTCCCCAGCTCCAACTCTACCTAATACGAACACTTATAATACGAACATGTCGATATTTTTCCGAGTGTTGTCGTGGGTCTTTTTGCCTTGTAATCTAGAGCAGCATCAGAAACAATTATACCTATTACCAACTGAAATGGATGCTCCTTTTGATATCTTCGGTTTGTCGTATGACCCGGTGGCTTGAACATGCTCAGTTCCCCAACCCTGACTGCCGAGGTGGTAACTTGGCTTTCGAAGGTGAAAATTCCGTCTTCCTCCAGTGGTCATGGACTTGAACCTTGACAATGCTCAGTTCCCCAACCCTGACTGCCGAGGTGGTAACTTGGCTTTTGAAGGTGAAAATTCCGTCTTCCTCCAGTGGTCATGGACTTGAACCGGCTTTCGATAGTAATTCTTGTGAACTAAATACTACTGGAGGGACATGTCCAACATGCCCTGAATAATACTGTTGTGATGGATTCAACCATCCTATAATTTAAACCAAATATTCTATACCGGGTGAAAACCTCAGACATTTCTTTAGAGAGTTGATATACGTCTAGTCACTCTTAACCTCCTTTTCAAACGGGAAATATATATAACACTGAATGCAATCTTTCTTGTCTAGTTATCACCAAATTTTCACCTATCTTACATGTATCTACCAGAGAAAAAAAATCTGCCTCTGTTCTTTACTCTGGACTACTGTCAGGAAGACCGATGACGCTCCCTGCAATGAAGACAACAGCTATGACTCAACATTGACAAGCCTCGATAGGAATGCATAGATCACAGCCATCGGGGGCAATGACATTGCTAAAAACATCTTTCCAGCAGTATGTCAACAATAGAACAGGGTCCATGCATCAGACCTTACAATTATCACATAATACACCAAATTCGGACACTATTGTGAACACAAAAGGAAAGAACATTCAAGCACTACGAAATGCAGTAAAGAATTTATTCACAAGGTTTCGAATGGAAGCTTCTCAAGACTCCAGAACCTTTGGCGTAGCATAAGTAGTATGTACATAAATGTTCACAAATCCTCAAAGGAATGCACATCCTGCCAGCATATACATATATATACATAACACAGCAACTGGGATGCGTTTAGGGATCTCGCCAAGGAAGCTTATTTACATTTTCTCCGTATGCAAGTGACAATACGAAAGAAAGCTTCACATGCAGCGTAGAGAACTTCCTCCCTACCAAAATAATGTAAATACCATATCTACAACAATACAACAAATGCCTTGCCTTGCTGTATACCACAGCACTTCATGCTGACTAAGCTATTTAGAAGTATCTTCTTCCCAAAATTTATTCAGGCCGAAAGTTTACCAAATTTGGGAGGTCAGCCAACTGAAGCTTCCTTATATCATTTGCAGTCACCTTGCATGACTCTAAGGTCAGCGATTTCAAGTTCTTCAGTTTCTTCAGATGCTGCAACCCGGCACTGGTTATGCGAGAGTTTGAAACGTTTAAAGAGACCAACTGTGTCAACCCTGCATCCACAGAATATGCAAGCAAGCTGAAACTCCAATGAGACGAAGGCTGCTTTGCTAGTTTAAAAATCTCACAACCAACCTGAATAAGGATGAGTTACAAATTATTTGTTCTCAAAAACAGTTGGAGCTTTTCACGCACACAAAACAACAATGTAACAGGGCATCAAGTATCTTCCATGAATTGTGAAGTTTCCAATATAACTGGAGGGATAAAATGACAGGTAGTTTGGTTGGTTTTCTTTGAAAGGATGGAAACATTCTGATTCAATACAAATATCCAAGAATACATTAAGCCTGTGTCTCTGACAGGCCAGCACCACAACAAATAAAATTTTGATGGCAAGGCAGAAAACAGACCACAATTCCACAGAGGTTCATCCCCTATTAGCCATACCAAAAAATGCTTTTATGGCTTTGACACAGGGAAATCCTCAGAAGAAGACTTCCAAATTAGTGGTTATGACAACTCCACTAACACCGACAATGTACCTCACAGTCACAAGGTTAAATGCATTTGTTGCGATGAGATTCCAAAAGGTATGGAAAGAACATAAATAGATTAAATTTCATGGAAAATACCAGAAATTGACTCCAAAGCTTTGTCAGTCAGGTGGTTGTTTTGGGAAAGATTCAACAGCGTCAAACATGAAAGATCTTTAATATTCTTCACACCAGCATCAGTTAATCCTCCACCACAAATTTCCAGGGACCGCAGGTTCTTAAAACCTTAAATAACACACCACCAACAGGAAAATGAATAGGTTAGACTTAAGTCTAGCAATAAATCACAAAACAAAGTTCGGTTGGTCTGAAAACTTTGGAAGTAATGACAAATTTTGCTAGTTTTATCCTCCCCAGCCAAAAGGTAAATATATGCAAGCCACAGGCACACACACACCAGCACATGGTGTACATCACGTGGTAAAAATAGATTTAGCTGCCAAAATACAGAGTTCAGTCCTAAGAAAAAATATCTAGGAGAATTATATCTAGCATACTTCGCAAATAGCCGGTTCCAGAATCTGTAATACGAGCCCCAAAAAGATCCAAGTGGGTCAATCCAGTCAAACCTGCATCAGCAAATGGAGGAAAATGGGACCTTGAGTGCACTCAAGAAAAAAGAAAATTAAGAAGAAAGAAATCATCTAACTAAATAGCATCAAAAAAGGAAGGGAAAACCCCTAAAAAGAAAACTCAAAGATGAAATATCCGAAGCCTAAAACTCATAGCATCCATCTCACGGCATTTGTATATGATTTGTGTGTAAGAAGTCAGTTATCAAAAAGGAAAAAGAACAAGATGGAAAAAAATAGGTGCCCCAAGTAAATACTGAGTGCAGTAATACTCCAAAATGATGACGGAAGAAAAATATGAACTGAAATACCCTTGACAAAGAAGCTTGCAATAATGAAGGCGAAAAATGTTACTACACCGTTGACAGTAGTCTAATGCAATTCAAGTTTATTAGCCACTGCACCCAAAGTTTCTAGCAAGGATTAGTTATGACCTCATAGGTCAGGTCAGGGCAGAATAAAGACAACAGAGAATGGCATATTTTGCTTGGCATGAAATTATTTGCTAGCCACATACCACACAAAAACAAAACTTCACTGCTTTTACCTTGTTTTAGCATCATAAACGACCTACACAAATCCGTCAACTTTACGGATTTTACTTTGTGAAGGTTCTACTAGTTTCTCTCTCATTTTAAGGTGTTCTTTAAATGACATAATTTTCTCATTCTACTATGGCCGCATCCCGTGTCATGTTGAATGAGTTCACCATCAACTAGATGCTAAAAGGCTAGCCATGATAAAACACATTGACGTCAAATAAGCATAAAAGCGCTTAAATCAGTATGTGGAACAACAAATAAATGGACAACTTGTGTTTCAACCCTTATGTATCAGATTACTTCAACTAATAAAGAACTCAGCATAAAGATAGAACATGCATCAAGTGGGAACAGTTGAACTGCCAAACACAAAAAGAGCAATGAAAACATCTACCAAACAAGCTTACTCGTAAGAGCTGCAAGCCCAGAGTCCGTAATGTGGCGAGCATCCAAATTAAGTGATTTCAGAGATGATAATCCAGACAACTTTCTTAAACCACCATCAGTAACAACAGTGAACGACAGATTCAAACTCTCCAGCTTACCCAAACCTACAAATAGAAAGACAAACAAAACATCTGGTTTAAGTTTTACAAAATTTGGTACAATTCTTTTGATGCAGGAAAAATCATGTCAAATACACTTTAAGAGGAATCAAATATTTCCTTGGACACAACACGACACACAAAGGGTGTACCCCCGATTGGCGCTAGATGTGCCTGCCATCAAAAGGCTGCCCACCTTGCATGTCTAACGAAATGAATAGTTGAAGTCCTAGTGTGACAGAAACTTCGTCATGATACTTGGGTTTATTGTTTATTCTTTATCAGTTGCCTGAATACATCAACTCCGTTAAGTTTTACTTGGAAGTTGGGACTAAATATGTGGCAGAAATAATCAATGTTACCACTGACACAGCGCAAATTGTTCTGAGAGATGACTGACAGTGAATAAAATTGACACGCATCGGAAAGAAGTGTCTACACACATAAACGAGCCGACTATTCTTTCATATGAATAGCTAAATGACATGTTTATGAATCAAAAGAAACGTATATGCAATTTGACATGTTCATATTAAAACTGGTCATATCCCGTATGCAGTATAAGGCACATGTCTAACCAGAAAGATAATGCAGTCCATTGCTTCCAACTTCAGTATCAGACAACTCCAAATATTTCAAATTCTGAAGGCCTGCACTTCAGACACCAAATGAAAAATTCGTAGAAATCAGAGAGAGAGAGAGAGAGTAAAACCCAACAATTAAAACCCAACAATTGGGTCCAGTCTTCTATACGGGACAAGCAGACAGACCAGGTTGGTTAGATAACTATAACAACAATGATATGTTGACTAAGATTTCTTACCAAGTTTTTCTTCTAGTGATGTTGCAAAATTTTCACCATTAAATAAGTGGGTCCTTTTAATATTCAATGATGGAGATTATGCCACCACTTGGGATGAAAAATTTGATAAGAAACTTGGTAAGTATAACATTACTGAAACTATAAAGTCAGAGACATCTGGATACCAGTAACTGAAAGATTTTTTAAAATCAACTAATCAATTTACTTAAATTAGCGGAGAATCTAGCCCTTGAAAACACGATATTTATGACAACACTGAAGTACTGCACCAGTAAGACAAACGCAAAACAAAGGACCAACACTTGGCCAGCTAGCTAGGTCTTGACTCAATCAAATGGCCAGGCAGAGGCTCAATCAACCATTGTCTACTTCCCCAGAAGACAAGTTTAGGGTTGGACCCCCTAAATTTTCTTTGTTTGAATTTGCTCCATTTTATTCGTACAAAACTACCAATTTCCTTTTAGCAGCATATATTGTTGCATTCATATCACCAACAAAAAGAACTCTAGGAAGTAACATATTTACAAAATAGACAATGGAGACTAGTTTCTATCAAGGTTGCATTGTACATGTTTATTTTTACTAGAGAAGTAAAATCAAACAGAATACAAATACAAGACACAACCGAAATGCCCCTCAAGGAAAAACGAAAAAAAAAGGGTTAAACAGTATTGCCTTTATGATATAGAAACATCTTTCCGATATCATGTACCTGTACCATGATGATATAGAAACATCATGAAACCCAAGAAGTATCATTTTCATGATATAAAAAAAAAGGTGATCTCTGACTCAGCAGGGCAATCACTCTATTTACAACAGAGGAAAAATGAAAATAAAAATAAAAATTAGAACAGAATGAAATAGGAATAACTTTACAAAGTGACCTGTCAAGTTAACCAGCCCTTCATCACTAATCCGACATGAATCCAGGTTCAAGCTCTCCAAATTTGTTAAACCTGCTTGAAAAATACCAGAAAGCACGAGTGTAGAGCAAACATCATTCTTCTGTCATTCATATTTTTCCATCCATAATGACACTGAACTATAGATGGCACCCTATATAGAGGTTAACATCAAAATGGAACATATAGCAGCGTCATATCAGTAAGAAAAAATTTACTATAGAGGCTAACAACAAAACTAGACATATAGCAGCCTCAGATTAGTAAGAAAAAGTTTACTTTCATAATTCATGAATTCTTCAATTAATGCAATATACACATCCATTCAAAGAAGTGCCATACTGATTCTACCAAAAAAAAGTCAAATTGTGCAAGCATGTCCACAATCAACCAAACATCACATTGAAGACAAAAGAGTGCAATTAGGATTTACATATTTTGAAAGCAAAAGCCAAAGGAAGCCCTACTGTCCTGAGTAGTGACAACAGTAAATTGTTATAAATATTTCTGATTAGCACATAATACTTTCCCTTTATTGTTGAACATAGCCCATCTTTTGTCTCCCTAAAGCCACCTCAGCACAAGCAGAGAAGCAAATGTTTCCATCCTTGGGCATTTCACTGGTATGGATATAATAAGGAATAAGGACCCACCTCTTAGGTTCACCAAAACAGCATCTGAGATTTCATTGAATCCCAAGTTCAACACTTTCAAAGTACACAATCCTACAGAAACAAGGGATACAGAAGATCACTTTCATACTTATGATGAAAATTAGTAATAAAATGAAGCTCAACCTTGAAAATTTGAAATACACTTGACTCCTGTAATAACGTAAGAAGGCATGACTTACTTGCAAACTTCTCACCACCATAATCGGAAAAATTACATCTGCTTAGATTCAAAAATAACAGCTCATCCAGAGCTGCATAAAAGAAGTGCTTTAAACATTAAGTTAAAAAAGGAAACTTGAACAAGTAAAGTGTAAATGATATCATCATAAACATGCATTTCTATGAAACAATCACAAAAAACCATTTTCTTATTCTTTTGTCACCTTAATATGCACTCTTAACTCAAATTTAACATAAGCTCCCTAGAGTCCTTAAACTTATTCATTCCATCGTTCTAGTTCATATTTAAGTACACTTCTCTGCACCGCAAGGTTGATATTTCGCAATGCATCTAGGACACCATTACAAATAATCTGAGTCAGCATTACCACAAGTGTTTCATTAGATGATTCATCAAAAGTAGCTAACTGTAGTCATGTAGCGTAATCTCCCAAAGCTCACTTCTTTAGTGTGAGAAGCATTCCAACAAACAATTTAGCATGTATACAGGCAAAGAATAAATTTCACACACTTCTATCCTAATCTGTCATAGTTCAGGAGTAACTGGTTGCAATCTCCAATGCTAAAACAAGATATTGAAGACTATATAGCACTGTGAACCTGAAAGAGACTCCAAGCATTTGGTGGTAACAGGGCAACCCTCCATGTTCAATAAAGCAAGCTTGTGCAGAGCTGCAATGCACAAATATAAGTTCCAATGAATTTGTTCCCATTGGAAAATCTCATATCCAATAACTAATGTAAGCATAATTCCATATATGGGACTAGTCTTACACCAACCAGATTAAGTAAAGTATACACATAAAGCCAAAGATTTTCACATTAACATATCTGCTTATTTAGTTGTTTTCTGAGAAAAGAAAACTTGTAGGAATAAAAAGTGTAATTGCCAGTAAAACAATTTTTAACACAACAAATTTTGACTAGATCATTGCAGAACTCTTTTGAGCAGGCTTCTGTGGAGAATTCAGATGTTTTTTTCGATATGCTACTCACACAAAACTTTGAAAGAGAGTGATAGAGCAACAACGATTAAAACTCAAAACAACAATATTTGAGAGTAAGTTGAATTTATAACTAATAGATCAACAACATAAGCTATATACTTAGGAGACTAAAGGAAAGACAAAAAGAGAGAGAAAAAAAACCTTACACATGTTTTTATAAACGTAGAGAATACATATGATAGAGTTCCTAGATATATAATATGGTGGGTTTTAGGAAATAGAAGAGTCATAAATAGATATATTGCAAAATTAAGGGCATGTACAAAGGTGTAGGAACTTTAGTGATAACAACCGTAAGGAAGAGTAGTGAATTCCCGATCCTATTAGCATTACGTCATGGTTCGGCCTTGAATCCATATCTTTTTGCCTTAACTAAGAACATTAAAGATGAGATACCATGTTGTATGTCATTTGCTGATGATATAACTAATCGATGAAACTAAAAAGAGGAATTTATAAATAAACGGAGAAAATTCCAATCGACCAAAGAATAGTACAAGTAAAACTAAATATATTGAACATAACTTCAAGAGAAGTAGAGATTTATAAGTGAGGCGGTCAAGGTTGAAGACCTACAGATATCAATGAGTGAACACTCTCAATATCTAGGGTCAATTATTGAGGAGAGCAGTGTTATGAAAAGCGAACCTAAGTGAGCGCCTAGGAAAGAAAAGAAGCGAGCCTTGGTCGCCTTGAACAACCCAAGCAGAGCAAAGTTAAGTAAAGCGGAAAAAAAAATGAGTCTAGGTGACGAAGCGAATAAGCGAGCCAATGCCTAATTGCAATTTTATTTTTCCTCCTCCTCCCCCTCCTCCTTCTTTAACATCAGTCAACCCCTAGCAGAGATGATGTTATATGTGTATATGTATAAAATAAATTGATTGATTCATCTAATAGTAACATATGACAATCTGTCTTGTTATGATTAAGTTATGTTGAATGCTCGATTTTATGGTGAATGCTCTAGTTAATCAAATTGATTAATCAATTTGTGAGTTCTCTATTCAGTGGTGATATTAATCAATCACGGTCGAACCCATATTTGCTATACTTACAGGTTAGCGTCTTTCCCTTTAGACGACGTAATTATGTCAATTAATTATTTTTAGAATGCAATAATGTTTAATATTTAATATTTTGTCTATTTAAAATATGTAGATGTTTATTATTTTGGTTACATTTAAATATTTTGTATTTGTAAAGTTAAAACTTGAATATTTAGGAGTAATTAAAGTACAAACTATTCACTTTGCTTCAATAAAGTGCTTGCTTCGCTTCGTTTCTCGGTCCTCAAGAGACCGGTTCGTTTCAATTTACTTTACGCCTTAAATAACACTGGAGGGGAGAGATAGGAAACGATGTTACCCATATAATTAAAGCATGATTCACTAAGCGGAGGAATACATCTAAGTGTATTGTGTGATCGATGTAACCCTTAAGTTGAAAAGTAAAACTTGCGCCAACCTTTAGGTTAGTAATCTTTTATGCTATAAAGTATTTGGGAACTAAGAACAACATGCTTAGAATTGAATGCAGTTGAAATAGTGAGCTAAGATGCATGTGTGGTAACTTTTAAAAAAATGGATGAGTATATTCGTGAAACAATAAAAATAGCACCAATAGAAACTAAATTAAGAGATAATCAACTTAGGTGATTTAGACATGTTTATTGAAGACCTAGCAGTACACCATTAAGGAAGAGTGAATGATACTTCATTGATGGTCATACGAGAGGTAGAGTTGGACCAAAATTAACTTTGAATAAGATAGTAAAGGAAGATATGACAGTAAGGTTTCACAGAAAATATGACACTAGCACAATGGATGAATTTGATTCATATAATTGACAACAATTATTTGAAATCAAGCTTCGTTTTGTTATACTCTTACAGCACTACTTGAATAGGACACCTGAATTGCAAAAGATCACTCCCATATCAGGGCATCACTCCAATCACAAAAATAAAATATTCGGAAGGAAATAATCCAGAAATAGCTAGTCCTTATCCAACTTTTGATAGCCATCATCCTTATCTTACATTTGTTATATATATCTTTCCCCTTTATCAATATGTTAGAAATGGTGTATAAAACTATAAACTTCTGATTGTAGAAGTAAACAAATGTATGGATGTCTATATGTTGTGTGTGTTTGAGTGAGAGAGGGAGGGGAAAGAGACAAAGGAATTGATTCCACCTTTCCCACATGCGAGGTATCAGAGCAAGAGATCTCGGGATTGAGACTCTTCCAATGAGCATTCTAAGTGTGCAACATCATTCCCCAATGTGGCTAGCCACAATTGACTTGAACCTAGGCTATGTGATAAAAGAATTGATTCCGCCTCTCCCGCAAGATTTGCGGTTTCTGAGCCAAGTGGTGGGTCATCCTATGTACTAGGATCCAAAGAGTTGTTAAACAAAGAAGAAAAAGAATAACGTTTAATCACATTGAACAAATTTTTTTTGACTCGGGGATGGACCCTTTTAAACCTCAGATGATGCATTTTAGATTCCATGAAACTTGCATATTTGCCAAGGGTATGGCACATGGCTCCGAGACCATACCTTTTTCATTTTGATAATACAAAAACATAAAATGAGATAACTTATAACCCATAAAAACTTGCACCTTTAAAAAAAGTGACACCATAATCTGTAACCTTGCTGGAGGAAATTTGTAAGCTTTTCAAGTTTGTAAGCCCTGAAACATAAATAAAAGAATATTTTATGACCAACAAGACTGGATTATTCCAACAGTAAAAGCACATGAAAACATTTTCATGCATTCAATATGACCACAAACATGAGTGACTGGAGTGTAACCCACAGCCCGCAGAAACAGAAGGATATATACTTTGTGTGGCTTGAAATCAATTTTCTGACTATAGTGGAAAAGTTACATGCTTTAAGGCCAAATAAAATAATAGAAGACATACTAGATCAGCTGTACTTCAAATAATGCAGTGGGTTGTGACAATTGAGTTTTGTGGAGAAAACAGTTTGTGTACGAAAAATTGAATGGAAATACTTCAAGGCCAGTGTTATATACTCCATCTGTCAGCAGTAGCAGATGCCTAATGACTGTAAATTTCCAGTAACAATCAGAACCTAGAACCACAAGTACACCAGTTCCCTAAATCTTCAACAAGGAAGAAGGGGATGGGTAGGGAAAGCGGGGAGGGGAACAAGTTGAAATGTACCTGCAAGAGGCTTCATATCCGCGTCTGTTATGCAATTACAACAGTTGATGTTAAGAGACTCGAGCTTTGTTAGGCCTGCCAAAATAATGAAGCATGGCGAGTCATAAACACTTGCAATAATTAACCTAACTCTAGAAGAATCCCTTAGGTCGAAAGTACACAAAGACAATCTTAGCAAGCAAAAAACTCTTAATTTAGATGCCATATGTACATCGTATGGAGAATCTAATGTCCTGGTGGCCACTGCAAAACTGGAATAGATTAAAAAAGAGGGGCGGAAGAAGCTGCACACTGGGAACAAGCCTTCATTTAGTGGCATGGTAAATATATTTTTTACTAGAATTGAATGTTTAAATAAAATTCCACTTTTGGGGCCAATCCTACACCACACGACAAACAAAAGAGAAAAAAGATTAAAAAGATGCTCGCTTGTCAAGGAATACTATAATGCAACCAAAAACTGAGATTTCAAAAAAATGGAGTCAACCAATTTCACTTTTTGAATTTGTTTTTGTTTCATGTTTTTTGTTTTTGTTGGGGTGTAGGTTATTAGAAAAAGGCATTCATCTCATGTCGGTGCAAGGGCTAAGACAACATTCCTAGCACCGTAAGTGCAATATGAATTACAAATGTTTTGCCATCATCACTCCTCATGGAAAAAAAAAAGTTCCTTGCATATGGAACACAAGTGTATCACATAAATAAAATCTCTAGGGAGCATGAACTAGATAAATCAAAGCATCCCACAGTTGGAGTCCCAAAAAAAAGGCAGTAATTGTCAGAGAACTTTTTTTTTTTTTCCCTTTTTGGTTCTTTTTGATCAGCTAGAGAGCTAAATACTAATCCAAATATTTTGCCTGTCAAGCCAGCATATCATACATTAAGAAAAAAAAGTACATACAGAGGAGAACAAACCTTTAAGATGAATAAGACCACCATGTATCTTTGTACATCTTTCTAGATCCAACTTTACCAAGCTAACTAGGCCTGAGAAAACACTCATTCCTTGGGCCATAATTGCATTATTTCTTCTAAAACTCAGAGCTGTCAAGTTAGATAGACCTGAAAAATTATATCTTAATCTTTAGCATAAACAATTAGGGGAAGAGCCACTCCAATAAAACTTTAAATAGGTCCACTTGCAAATGCAAGAGGATTTCAAGAGCAAAGGAGAGGAGCGGAAATGAGGAAAGCAAATGAGAAGAATATTATCGTAAAGGAAAATGCCCAAAAAAGGATGTTTTAATAAATTACAGCTGCATACCACAAGTTAAATGCAAATCTCCAGATAATTCTCATGACACATCCAAAAATTTGTGAAAACTATGTGCACTAAGAAAACAAACCAACAAGGTTACACCCACTGAATCTTCCTAGACATGATTTTGCTGATTATGTTCATGAGTCAATTCAAACTCATTGTAGAAGGAGTGACGTGCCTCCTACCATAAAGAACCCCACCCCACAGCAGTTAGTACTTTAATAAAGACAACAAAGCCAAGGTCACAGAGATATCTCCAAATGGTAAGGCAGTCGGTGTTTATATGACCCTCATAGCTTCACTTGGAATCTCCCTTTGCACATTCAAAGGCTAAACATCTAAGCAAGAGGGATGCCACATTTTTGTAGATGATGTGCCATTCTCTAGTTTCTTTGGTAATTATTTCTAGTATTAAACGAAATCACTTAGTGCTGTTTCTTCGCTCCCCCCTCCTTTTCCCTCATTCTTCCTCTTTCCCCTTCTTTCAAGGATATTTTGTTGCCTTCAAGTCATGTCTTGACTCAATTTACTACAGCTATAGGATCAAAAGCTTGCACACACGCACATATGAAGAGGTCATTAAATAAGCATTGTTAAAGGCTTCAATGTTATATTGCACACTATGGAGAGAACAAAGGGATCTTTTTTTGTTTTGTGGGGGGGGGGGGGAGGAATACCACTGATGTGTTCCAGCCCCTGGTCTGAAATCCGTCCACAAAAATTTAAATTTAAGTCCTGTAGATTTGTGCAATCTCGGAGATGAATCAACCCAGAATCAGTAACAGCAGACCCTGAAATATCCACCAAAAGTAAAGATGATCCTTGTGAAGAGACAAAATCCATCCAAAAGTCATCAACTCCTGGGTATTCGCCCAAACTAAGATCCTGCCAAGTACAATACATATGCCTCTTCAGACTGGCGACGACAAAGTACCAACAACAACTGAGGAACACTCTATTTTATTCCACTAGTTTAAAATTTTAACGACACGATTATTACGGGGACATACCTGCAGAGCACAATCTTGAAAAGCTTCAAGAGTAACATCAGCCAGACATTGGGAATAGACCAAATCATCAAAGATCTGCTGACTTATATCCCTTGGCAACATAGAAAAGGTACTGTATTTATTTAAGTCCTGCAACACACCAAAGAAGAAGATATCAGTCACAAAAAAAGTCAATACTCCTGTGTTCTCATATGAGGTTGATAACGGAAAATGCATACCTCACGAATCTTATAAATGCACAGTTCCATGAGAGAAGGGCATTTCCTTTTTCCCTGTTCAATATCCACAGCTGCCCGAGAAAATGAGGCTCCCAACCACTTCGAACTTCCACTTTTGCAATATTTTCCAGAAACAACTCTATCTATGATATCTTCATTGACAAGTTGGTCTCGCTTTCTTGAACAAACTCCCCCCATTGAGTAGCAATTTGGTAATTAATATATTTCACAAAAGCAGCAGCCAAACGCTGATGTAACCCATTCAACCACTGACCATTTGGGAAATGCACTCTACTTCACCCTGCAAAGCAAAAGGAAACAATCTAGCAGACGTAGCATTTAGCTCATGTTGGTCATAAATTTGTCTAGCAGATAACTTAATTGAAACACCAGAGTGGGGCTCTATATTCTGCCAGTTTTTGACATACTTTTATGCTTATATTCAATCTTTGTTTCATTCTTTCCTAGAAAGAAATTAATAAAGGACATGCAGCACAACTTTTCTCAAAAAACCCGATATGAGGACATCCTTCAGTAGTCACATGTTTTTATGCCTAATACCAAGATAATGTATTCAAACAAGCAAGTTCAAACTCCTCCCAAAGATACGCAACAACTACCTGTGACAAGATGCGTTCTTCATACATGATTTCATCCAACTCAATGAAGCCTCTGTCCCAAGCCCAACTATTTACACTCAGTCACATGAATCATATTTATCCATTGTGCTCTATCTAGGACCACATTTTCTAAAACTTTCATATACTTTCTTAGTATTGGTTCAATGTTAATTTCGGCTTAACTCAGTCTCTAGTATTACCATCAATATGTATAAAATCGTGGTACAGTATTATATCTGATTATCTTCTATAAACATGTGTATATAATAAGTGCTATTGAGGATAAAACACTTATATACACATGTATTCATTCCCATAGATATGTATGCTAGACAATAGAAGGTAGATACAGATAATTCGACAATGTGCCTTCTCAGATATTAACGATTTCAAGCCTCATTGATCTTCAGTATTGCATTTGGTATTTGAAATATGAATGTAACACTTAAGAACACATCATGGGTCCCGGCTATCGGCTGACCCTTGCAAGTTTGCATAGACTCCATGTGAGGGATGATTACCGTAAACAATGGTCATCAATATGAAGTGTCTAACTTTCAAATGACATGATTACTGTAAACAATGGTCAACAATTTGGAGTGTCTAACTTTCAAATGACATAGCAACATATCTTGATTCTCTCGCTGAAGCTCATAATGAAGCAGCCATCTCTTGCCTTACAACATAATAGATGTATTTATAGTGATCGATATAATAGTACCCCGCTGCTCCACCGGCGACCTAGCAAGTGTCAAGTAACTCGGTGGACTTGACATCCAAAAACTATCATCTATACTAGTTTATGTACATCTCTAGACTCTAGTGTCAATAATCAAATAATCATTCTCTGTTCAGTTGATCGATAACTCCGTGGACTTCACATCCAAAAACTCTATTTGGCTATGTTCACATCATCAACTAGACTGTAAGGTTATATCTAATCACTCTGTTTGATTGCAGAGAACCAAAAGAACAGAAAAGGAAACACGGGATTTTGGTCTTTAATTAAATTCTTTGAATGGGAGCACCAAAATCGGAAATTATTCAAAATTCAAACTCAAGTAATAAATTAAGCCTCTTATGTTCTCAGTTTCCTACTGATCAAACAGAACAAGCAAAACCAAGGCCTATATTTCCAAAAATCGCTTTCCTCCATTTTCTCAGGAAGCAAATACTACACAACACAACAACAATTGATCATAAAACGAACAAAACACTAAGAATCGCATAAAAATATACACCCCTGGAAGAAAATAAAATAAATAAATGATGAAATTGAACCTCAGATAATGATCGATCAGTTCATCGAACAACTCTGTTTGTGTGTGTGTGTGTGTGAAAGAGAGAGAGAGAGAGAGAAGGTGAAGACTAAAGTGAGGAGGAGGACGGAGCAGCGTACAAGTGACCGGTGGCTGATGACGAGGCAACGTCCCAGCCAACGGCTCGTCGCCACGTGTAGGTAAGCTGAGCAAAGTAAGGTTCGGAATTAGGTGCTTTGGGAAATGAGATAAGAAGAGAGAACCGGGAATGTGGGGCCCACGTAGACGTCTCTTTTCCCGCTTGCTTTATCCGTTGGTTGTGAGGGTCCCGCTTAGGAAAGCAACATTTTCATAATCTAATATCAAAAAGTTTATCAACGTAAATGCATCACATTTAATGTAAAAAAATTTTTAATAATTATTATATATTTATCAATTAAGTAAAAATAATTGTGATATTAATTATTACGATGAAGGAGGAACTCGATTAGAGAATGAAAATGTGTTGTGTTGTGTTGCGGAGAGAGATGGTTAAAAAGGATAATAAAATCATTCACAATCTTCTGTTTTTTGAGTAAATTATACTAATATCCCTTATTATTTTTAACATTTTTACTACATCCCTTGTTATTTATCAAATTGCACTGACATTTCTTGTAATGTAACATACGCCCCCCTCAAGCAATCGACTGTCACTTTTTTGATGATGTAAGTAAATTTTTTGACATAAATTTCTAATTTTACCCTCAAGTAAAAAAAATTGCATATTTTCACTACAAGGTTCTTGCTATCTCAATTTATTATACAACTTTGACACATTAACTACAATCCTTTTAAAGTCTTTCAAGTTTAAATATACCACAATAAAAAGATTATTATATACCACAACATGAACTTGCATTTCAGTAACATGGAATCACCTTTAGAACTGATTTATTTTTACACTGAATCACACCTAAAGAAAATTGCATCAAGAGTGTACAAATAATTTCATTAAATTTTAAAAAACAAAGTAAACCATCACAATGAACTCAAACTACAGTAATCAATCAATATACAACACTGAATTTTTAAAAATATGAATCATTTTTCATTTATGAATTTGTTAACATCAACAAACATTATGTTAAAGAGGAGAGGAGGGCTTTAAGGGGAATAGAGTTAATGTGTCATAGTTGTCTTTAACTTGAGAGGGCAAAAAATCTTATACTAAAAATAGACATGTTTTTTTAACTTGAGGATAAAATAGGAAGTTTAGGTCAAAAAATTTGCTTACATCCTAACATAAGTTGATGTGTGTTGCTTGAAGGGTGTCTGTTACAATATGTCACATCACAAGGAATGTCAGTGTAATTTTATAAATATCGGGGTGCAGTGAAAAGTGAAAAACAAGGGGGTGTCAATATAATTTACTCTTTTTTTTTTAATTATAAACCTTAAAATCACTCACAATCTACTAAAAGAAAAATAGTTTGATATTGATTTAAGTCTAATTTGTGAAAAGACTCCAAGGACGGCAAATCATTCTTTTTTTTTTTTATTAATAATAAAGATTATTCTACTCAAATAAATAAGTCAACTTTCAATACAAAAACAATAGTTAATGATTTGAAAATTAATTTTCTAAATTTAATTCAAATAGTATGATTTTTTTTATTATCTAACTTAACCTCGTCTTCTCTATTCTTTCGCCTCTTTTACAAGTTTTCGTTGCTTAATAATAAATTAGAGAAAGATTAAATTTGAATTTTTTCTATTCCACTATATATTCATCCAAAAAAAATATAAATTAGAGAAAAATTAAGTTTTTTTTTTTTTTGTATATTTCTCAATTCAGGAAAATAACTACTATTTCTAATATATATATATATATATATATATATATATATATATAGAGAGAGAGAGAGAGAGAGAGAGAGAGAGAGAGAGAGAGAATAAGCTCATTAATTGTGGTTGAAAAATAATTACTAATTACTATTAAAATGAGGACCTAATCACAATCAATAACATTGAGTGGACAAATGATGATCCACATGAAAACATTTACCAATTTACAAGTTACTTACGGTAGCTAACAAATGATTAGGTGGTTGTTGATTAGACTAAATTCAAAATATTTATAAACAAAAACCGTCCAAATGACTCCAACTGATTTTTTGGTGATTAATAACTGTACATCTTCAATTTAAATTATATACGAGATATCCACCAAGTTGGAGTATGGTAGAGGCTGAGAGAATTTCTAGTGGAGCAGTGAAATGCGTAGAAATTAAAAAGAATATCAACAATGAAAGAACCCTGTTGGACCGACACTAACACTGGACCGACACTAACATTAAGAGACGAAAGCTAAGACAACGAATGAAATTAGATACCCCAGTAATTAGTTTTTGTTATAATTAATTATATATATCTTGAGTGAGATTTTGAAAGACGTGTGATTTGAATTATTATTTTTTTTTTTGACAGAAAATGGTAGGATTTTGTTGATAGTAAATATTTGAAAGAAATAGAGACACTAAAAATTCAGGTACCCTCTCCTCCCATACAGCAGTATTATTCATAAACATAGCATTTTTCACTAACTGATGCCACTAACACATAATTCATCCACGTCGGATAATATAAACATTAAAACAGCGATGAAAACTCCCAGCAATGAAAACTTCTTTGACATCCGAGCAATGAAAACTCCCCATTCATCTCTAATCACAAACTCCCATCCCAATTGCCCTTTAGGAATTAAACAGTGCACCACCAAAATTAGCCATAACGGATAAAAAAAAAGAAAAAAATATGTGATGAATCAGTTCAAACTTTCGACCTGTGCAAAGAAATGGGCCTCACCAAAAATAATTTCATACACGATACATTAATTTTATCAAATTTAATGAAGATTGAACAAATTACCCCCCCGTCATATAGCAAGTAAAAGTTCGTTAATATGGTGATACCATATTATCGACGACATGTAGTACTACTGATAAATAATAATACAATATGTATGATAAGAAAATTCCACAATGCCAATGTGTAAGTAATTTAACATAGTGGTTTTGAACATTAATAAAATTATGGGATCCGCAACACACCGTAGTATATAATTATTGATTAGTAATGTTGTTCCAAAATTTGTTGAGATCGACGGAAATATCTCAATCGACATACAATTTTTAGGCGACTATTTAGGAGAGATTCAAATGTCTTATTTCAAGACTTTATTTGATTAAAATAATCAACAAACACACATTACATATAACTAATAAAAGATGATTCATTTATTAATTTAATCGAAGGGACTTCGATTACAGAAAGATTAAATATACAATCTTGATTGCAACAATAATTGCTTCATAAAACTACTTCTAAAATTACATTGTAGATCTTGTGAGGGTTTGAGTGTATCTCAACTTTTCCATTATGTGCCCTTTTATAGCTACTGTCTTTAATGATCTTGACTTCCATCGAGGGTTACTAATTGATAACTTTCAGTTAGTTACTTCCATTCTTCTCAAATGTGGTTGTGGCTGATCATCTCCAGGTTTTTTCCAAATCCTGTCATGTGACATTTTCTTAATACACCTGAAACGTCAAATGTTGATACACTAAATATTCCTGAAATGCTATATTACTTCCAAACAATGCCCCCTCATTTAATTGGATTTAATTAATAATTCAAATGAATGAACAATCACCATCCTTGTTCTTTCCAAACACCTACTTAAAGAGTTTTGGTAGCTAAACTGTTTATTTTACTTTTCTCTAATTGCTTTCTACTTCCTGCCCTCATTTTTCTCTGGTGATTCATCTTTTGGTTTCGAAATGGCTCCAAAAAAATAAAAACCTCCGTCTTTGTCTTCATTTGAAATCCTTTTTCTCTTTGAGATTCCCTAATTATATCAAGCAAATAGCCCATGACTCAATAGACTATAGGATTCTGATTTTTACCCCTAGTTCTAGTGGGAATCTTGTTCTTGGTCCTTCTTTCAAATCGTATGTCTGTGATGGATTTTCAGATCGTTACTCTATTCACAAAGGTGTAAACCTAATACTAAACTAAATCCAACTTTTGTGAAAGTCCGAGAATTAGGGAACCAATCCCCTTCCCTCATGGATCAACTCTGATCAAGGATGGGTTGATTGAATCGCAAAACTAGAACCTCAAAATGATTAAACTCTCCTCATGTGAACTCCACATGAATCGATGGTTAATTGGTGTTGTCACATGTTTCTGGTCCCAATCATGCAATATTATGCTTCTTCCCACTAGTATGATGTCCCCAACAATGTTGGACATCGTTCATCTGGCGGGGCTCCCATCAATAGGCATGGAAGTAAACACTTGCATTTCTACCGATTTTGGTCGTGAGTTTGTCAATATCCTTTCTAGTATAGGATATAGTGATCTTATTAACCACTTCTTTGCCTCTAAATCTTCTAACCCTTTATTTGTGGAGCATGTTACCTTTCTCTTCCATTGGTTATGTCCTATGAAGCACGGATACGGATACGATACGATACGGGTACGGGGATACGACAAAAAAAAAAAAATAGAATATGGGTACGGCTAGGATACGTCCATAAAATATACATTTTTTAAAATTTTATTATTATATTTAATGTAATAATTATGATTTATAAAGTAAATCACACTTCTATCAAAGATATATAATAATAACTAATCATCAGAGTCAGTTGATCGTCAGTGTGAGTGAGTGAGAGAGAAAGAGAGAGACGATCGTCGTCGAGTATCGATTGAAGGGAGTGGGGGGCTTGACGGGCTGTGGAAGAAAAGTGTAAAATTTTTTAGTCTTTTAGACTTTTAATTTAATAAATTTTTTTTTTGCAAATAAGGGCCTAAATATATTGCTCTTGTGCCTCTATACTTTTTTAAAATTCGAGTAATACCCCGTCGTATCCTTATGCATATCCTAGGCGTATCCCACATGTATCCAAAACGTATCCGGCCGTATCCGAAAACTAATTTTTTTTAAAAACATTTAGGATACTTCTTAGACGTATTCAGTACGTATCCGACGTGTATCCGTATCCAAAAGTATCCGATACGGACACTTTGACCCTTTTGAAGTATCTGTGCTTCATAGGTTATGTCGCTTCATTCTTTGTGTTTCTGGTTTTAAAGTAACCAAGGAATACTTCGGAGTAGCCCTTCAA